TTCAACACTCCCTTATGTGTTTGTGTGTAAATTTGTTCATTTCTCATGAGATGGGAAGTCCTTAATAAAAGCACATATCCTTAATAGAAGGAGAATAGTTGAGTTATTATTGATCACTGTTTGGCCTTGAATTAACCCTCCAAAACACATTGGAATGTGCCACTTTAAAAGTCTTGGCAGAGGGTTTTTCCTTGGTAGCTTTGAAATGTCCTGACATGAGGACTCAGTCTACCTTGGTAGGCGACTGCTTACCTGCCCATCTCCCTGTGAGCTCATGCTTTCCATGTGTGTGTCTTCTACATCTAGTACAGTGTCTAATGCATAGTTCCAGAAGTATCTGCTAATGAACGGATGAATGAACTCCAACCGTGACTAGAGCTGTACCAGGCATAGAAGTGTCTATGCAGGATAATCAGCAGTCCTTTAGATGGATACATTTTTAAGACATTATTGATTCCATATTTATTGATGGGGGGAGGGAGCAGTGAGAGAGAGAGAGAGAGAGAGAGAGAGAGAGAGAGATTGATTCATGCCAGCTAAGCTCTTTTTAATTTCACTTGGAAGTGCTATTTTCCTGTTTCACCAGTAGTGGCCATATACATTTTGCTTGTGTGTAAGATCTGAATGAGGACCATATTTCCAAATTATTCCAGAGTTGCTTCGCAGCACCTCAGAGTTCGGCACTCAGACTATTTCTCCTGCTTAAAACAACTTTCCTCTTTTGTACCAAGCGGAGCTTTCCAGGATCAGCCCAAATATCATTTCTTTGTGGAGACTTCCTTCAACAATTCATGTCTGCTGCTTCAACCCAGGAGAAAATTCCTCTGTTCTGCTTTGACTGGCTCAGGCTTCAGTTTCACGTTCATCGTGTTGTGCCGTAGTTTGTGTGTGTGTCTCCCCTCTTTAGAGTGAGAGCTTCTGTGAAGTTAGACAACTGGATTACTCATGATCTTAACATTTGTACCTAATAAGTGCTTGTTAAATGATTGTGTGAATGAATGGAAGGGTCACAGGAAGGGAGGGAGGAAGAGAAGGAGGGAAGGAGAAAGGGAGAGAGGGAGAAAGGGAGGGAGGGATGCCAGGGGGAAGCAAGGAAAGATTCGGTTACCTTCTCCCATGGTGATTAGCAGAAAGCAATGCTCTAAGGCAGTTGGTATTAGTGCAGAAGAGAGTGGGAGGCAATAGTTCAGGGTCCGGGGGACCATGCAGTGCGCTAGTGCTGTGTATGGGATGTGGGAGAAGCCCAGGAGTCAGCCGAAGTGACAAAGGAGGAGTACAAGAAGAAGAAGACAAATTCAGTCCTAAAAGCAAGTTTTGCTAGGTAAGAAGTTTGCCTATCATCTGCCCAACTCAGAAAAAAAATAACAGTAATTGCATTATCCCTTATAGTTAAAAAAATGCTATTGGGAAAAACAACGTAAGACTTCCATGCTAGACAGCTATATGCACATTATTTAACAAAACCCTATTCTAAAGTTCTTATGGTGTAGTCTTTGTGTATTCAAAATCACTATTTTGGGAGAAAAAAAGGCCTATGTACAGAAAGCATGTAGTTTTGTGGGTTTAAATAACAATGCTCTTCTAGATAATGTGTTCTCTTAGTTACCTACAGTATCACATTCTTAACTCCTTATGCATGTCAATTTTGACAGTGACGACTACAGAAGGTAATAATCATTCTAGAACCTGTGTTTTATAAATAGACTTGTACTTAATTACCACTGCCAGTGTCTTATCAGTAATACCTGCCCCAAATAAATTCACGTGTCGTCGTTTTCTATATGACGAGTACTGTGAAAAAGGATGTACTTGGTGACAACCTTCAACAAAAATGAGTCCATTTAGTTGCTCCCTAGAGTAATAATTATGTTTTCTGCCATTTCTATGTGCTCTTTTTGGTGAAGCACCAGGGAAAGAATTCTATAAGCATCAGCTAATGAATCAATAAGTACAGGAACCTGAACTGTGTACAGCATTGTTCTAGAATGTATGGCACTTCGAGCAATGCAAAACAATTGCATGCCCTGTTATAGTGGAAGATATCGTATCTAGGGAATGAAGGCTAACACGGCGGACACACTTAAGTGGTCCAAGTAGGGGTATAGTTAAGTCCTTATGAAAACTATTTTTCAAAGTATTCCCTCAAATATATTGAGAAATACTAATGATTTGTTTTCTGTGCCTTTAAATGAAATGGAAAAGGTAATATCTTAGTAAAAGTTTCAGGCTTTTGTTCTTACAGTCCATCATGGAGAAAAAATACAGTAGAAGAGGTTTGGTGCAAACCTGACATCTTGGGGAATCACTTCCATTTGAGAGTTTTGGCTGCAGTTTGCCCAGTGTGAGGCCTACATGGGAGAGGACTGGCTTGAGGGAGTGGGGAGGTAATTAGTCTATTTCCTATCAAATCGTCTGTATTTTCTGTGACTGCCCAAGGTGTTGCAAAGAAATTTTCTGGAACTGATTAAACCTCAGGAGAGAAGTGGGAGAGATCAAGCATTGCGGAGTGGCTCTCCAGAGAACACGATCGCCCTCTAGGCTACATTAACTAGCAGAGTTTTGTGAGCAACTCTGGCCGCTGCGCCACCAGGGAATTAGAGGGAAGGGGCCGGATTCTTCCTGGTAGGAGGGCTTTCTGGACCAAAGAAAGGAGCTGGCGACAGGAAGGAAAAAACAGATCAAGCGTCTGAATAGCGGCCGCGGGGCAGCCTAAAGCCTGTGCAGAGTTAACTGGCGCGCGTCACACACAGTTCCTTCGCCTACCTCCCCCTACTCCGTACACCCGCCGTCCGTGTGTCACCTTCCTGTTCGGAAGTCTTAGTAGGTTGCCGGGACAGGACAGGGGGCGCCTGCTCCACCCATCAGGTATCCGGTTGGAAGAAAAGCCAGTCTCAACAACTTGATTCTCTCCGTTAAATGATAAGTTTAGCAGACCATTCGTCTCCAACTGCTGAACATTAGGGTGGGGGGTGGGGAACACATCAGAGGGCCCTTTTCTGTTCCAACCACAAATCATATGGTTGTGCCTCTTCTCTGTCCCACTTACAGCCCTCTAACTTAAATTCTTCCTGGAATGCAAGCTGGAGCGGCAGGGCTTCTTTGAGAAAAATGATTCCTATGCATGTGTTTTGATTTTCTGGACTGATTTGTGATGATAATCAGTCAACTTACATTTTTTGTGTGTCTCGCTGAGGGTGTAATAAACCCAGGACTCTGAAGCCTGTAATTTTCTGAGTGACGTTGCTGTTGCTTGCAATGGAAGGCATGAATGGCCCAGTGTTGAACTTTGTAGTGTGCTCCCTTCCTGTATGTAAATTGCCTTTCTATAAAGTGGGGGTGATAACACAGCAGGGACAGCCGCCTCTGACTCCTCCTCGTGCTCCCCTGTCATCTCAGCCTCCAGCCTTATCAGGCACACAGAGCAAGAGGCTACTCTGGCCCTAGCTGAGCTCGACCTACCTCCAGCCTCCACAAAGTAACCTCCAACCGTCCTGTCCTAGGCAACCTGAAGAATGAAAGAGGAGGCTATAAAATCCTCCTTTAAAGGTTCGTCTGCTTTTATTGCTCTAATTTGATGAAATGGATAAAACAAAGATACTTCAGAGGATTTGGGGTCAATTGGCATGGGAAGCCACAGGAGGTGAGACTTAGGGGAGGGTCTCTGAAGGAAGGTTTTAAGTGTTTTAAAGCAAGCAACCAGGAATCTTTGTGCAGGCTGATGTTTCTAAGCAGTCTTTGCAAAATCTGGTATCTCAAAGGGGGGAGGGATGGTGTGGGAGCAGGACGGAGCTGAGCTAGGCTAGTTGAATTGGTACGCAAGGCATTGGCAGTAACAAATCGTACATTGTGAAGAATCCATGCAAGGGGAAGCAGAAGTGGGCCAGTGACTGTGACTTGGAGTTTCCTAAACCTTGCTTTAGGTTGGGGCATCAAGTTCAGGTAATAGTAAGTGCTTTTGCAAAGACTGGATGCTGAGTCAAATTTCTCAGCCAGGCTCCAGGAGAAAGGATGTGTGTTCACTTCTCCCAGTGTGGGGCTGTGGTAACTGAGTGGACCAAGAAGCAGTTCAGGCCACAGATCATATTAGGGCAAATGAGGTGGTTGTGCCTGCAACGCAAATCCCTGCCCACGACCAAAGAAAACCCCCTTCGATGCTATTCCTGGTTTGACAGCTGGTATTTTAGAATGTCAGATCCAGCAAGCAATTATGAAATGGCAGGGCCCTTGGCAGCAAGGGGTCATGGCAGGGCAGCCACCGCAGACAGCACCAGCAAGCACCCGGTACCGGGCTCTGCAAATCTTAGTAACTTGCAGCCTTCTCTTCGCTCCTGGCCCAGAGGCGGCACTGGCGGCGCCCCGCCAACTCGAGCGCGACTCCTCGCGCCGGCGGTCAGACTGCAGGTCCCATTATCTCCCAGCTTGGGGGTTACAGAAGGGCACCCTGCCGTTGCTCTGCAGAGGTTCCCCTTCTCCTCTGCTTTCTGGAGCCCAGGCTCCCCGGCTAATCTTTTCGGAGCTAACGGTTCACAGTTAGCTGGGACTAGTGGTAAAACTGTGAGAAGACTCCTGCGCCAGCCCTGGAAATGAGCCGGAGGAGGGGAAGGGAAGAAGAGGATAAAGTGGGGTCTTTAAGACAGTGTAACGTGATCCTGCAGAGTTTTCAGGTGGGAGAGCGGGAGAGAGAATCCGGGAAGTCGACCAGCCCCGGGGTGCAGAGCTGGCGCCGCCCTTGCTGCCCCGGGGCCACACCAGGTCTGTCCCCTGTGTGGAGCCACTGCTCCCCAGACTGGCGACTTCTCACGTGTTCTGGGCATGGTGGGGATTAAAAATGCAAGAAAAAAAAATACATGCGGAAGGGACAGAATGTTCTCAGAGATTACTTTAGAAAAAAAAAGTGAAATGCAGATTGTACTTTTTTTTTCTTTAGTGCAGAGACGAATTTTATTTCCGCCCCCTCCTCTACACATTCCTGACCTCTCCCTCCCCCTTCCCTCTTTCTTTCCTTCCTTCCTCCTCTTCCAAGTTATGGGATTTTTCAGCCTTGCTTGGCTTTGGCCAAAAGCACAAAAAAGGCGTTTTCGGAAGCGGCTCGGCCGTGCACAAGGGCCATTTGTTTGTTTTGGGACTGGGGCAGGAAATCTTGCCCGGCCTGAGTCACGGCGGCTCCTTCAAGGAAACGTCAGTGTTCTCTTGTCGCCCTCGCCGGCTGCGCGCCCGGCCGCCGCTTTCCATGGGGGAGATGCAGGGCACGATGGCCAGGGCCCGGCTGGAGTCCTTGCTCCGGCCCCGCCACAAAAAGAGGGCCGAGGCGCAGAAAAGGAGCGAGTCCTTCCTGCTGACCGGACTGGGTAAGCGCCGCCGCCAGCACGCGGGACTCGTGTCACTCCCCCACTTGTTGCTCAGCTACAGCGAGAGGGACTGGGTGTCTGCGGTCGTCGTGCGAGTGGAGGGATGAGGCTGGGGGGGGGGGGTGGCGGCAGGAGCGGTGGGGACTGGCCCTCCGCCCTGGCCCCACGCTGACCCCGAAGATAAGGGCGCGCGAGGCCGCCCTCCCCCGGCGCGGCCACCTTGCGCCCGACAGATAACCCTGGCTGGCGGCGCGCGGCCGCCGGGCGAGGGCAGATGAGGCTGCTGTGTAGATCCAGGGAGAGGGTAGGCGCCGGGGCCGGAGTGAATCCGAAACCAGGGTTTGAGAAACCAGAGCGGGCACGGAGCCAACGGTTGCCTCGCACCGGGCGGAAAACGCTTGGGATCTGGGACTCTGATTTCCTCGCTGGGCGGAATAAATGAAAAGGGTGGAAAATTACCCCAGGATCTCCCTTCCTCCCCACCCCCTCCGCCGATCGTTACCCTCCCTCAGGCCCTGGGGCAAAAGAGGTTGATAACCGTCCGCGACGGGCCCTCCCCCGGAGGCCCCCTGCACCCCGCTTCTCTCATCCCCCGCCCCAACCCAGGCTCACCCCCGGCCGGCGCGAAACCGCCTGCGGCCGACCGCCCGGCAGCCTGCGGTCCCCGGCGGCAGTGGGGGGCGGGGCTGGGGCGGGGCTTGGCCGCGGAGGACTAGGTTCGCGTCACCCGGGCCCCGCCCCCACAGCAGCGCAGAGTTTATAAGAGAGGCGGCTGGGGGTGAGCGTAGAGTCAGTTCAGCTGGTCGCCAGTTAGGACAGACTCCTTGTCCGCTCTCTGTCCTCTTTTTGCGGCAATGACAGTGAGAACCGAGGCTGCTAGGAGCACCCTCACTTACTCCAGGATGAGGGGAATGGTAGCAATTCTAATCGGTGAGTGCAGGTGTAAAACTGGACTTCTACTCTACGATATGCCAAGTGGAAAATTTTTGAATCAGATTAAGTGCCTGTGGCGTCGGGTGTTTCAAAGCCATCTTAACGTTTCTTTCTTCTTATTCACAGCTTTCATGAAACAGAGGAGGATGGGCCTGAACGACTTTATTCAGAAGATTGCCAATAACTCCTATGCCTGCAAACAGTAAGTCAGGGGAATTTGAGAAATGAAAATTAGTGTAGTTTGAGTTCACCATCAGTAAAGACATTCTCCTTAGTGTGTTCATCCGGAAGCCGGAGACTTCAGGGATGGGGATCCCTTTTTGAAGTTCCAATTTACTTAAAACATTTTTAAAATTAAAATAATTCTTAGATTTCGCTTGTTCTAAAGCTGTAAGATAAAATTTTCATGTTTGCCTAATTCACCCCTGCTTCCCTGAAGAACAACCCTCATCTTTTCATTTAACTTGGTTTATTATTTTCTTTGGCTGTTTTCTTTAACTGAGTAATTTATTTGGGTGTTTTTACTTTAAACACTGAATTCTCTGGAAAAAGTTGAGCCAGAAACTCACTAGTTGTATTGGTGTGCCCCCTTGTGGCTAGTTAGGAGGTCCTAAATTTTTCCTTTCTTTGCAGTCCTGAAGTTCAGTCCATTTTGAAAATCTCCCAACCTCAGGAGCCTGAGCTTTTGAATGCCAACCCTTCTCCTCCGGTAAGTATTCTCTATTTATGATGCATCTGTGCAGGGACCTTGTAAATGAGTCAATATTCCTACATTGATTAATTCAAATGGCATTTCTAGAAATTAGTATCAAGGCAGGAATGCCTCTTTAGTTAAGGCACAAGTGACACAAGCACTTAACAACTGAGTCAGCAGAGTATTTTAAAAGGCATAGTTCATAAAAGTCTTTCCTGCTTACAATATCATTGTGTACAGTTTTCATACTCTAATTTGAAAAATTAACATGCATGGATGAAAAGTAGTTTGGGATTTTTTAGGCGTATGGTGACTGGCCTCAGTCATTATCAGGCATCTTTGACAATGCTTGTACTTTATTACCCATGTCTTCCTTTGAAACCAAGATATTAAAAGAAAACATTTTATTTTCCAGCCAAGTCCTTCTCAGCAAATCAACCTTGGCCCATCATCCAATCCTCACGCTAAACCATCTGACTTCCACTTCTTGAAAGTGATCGGGAAGGGCAGTTTTGGAAAGGTAATTTCAAATCTGCAGACCTCAATATCTATAGCCTTTCATGCACATATTTTACTTGATCCCTGGATGCGGATAGCAAAATGATTTATCAACTGAAATTTTAGGTTCTTCTAGCAAGACACAAAGCAGAAGAAGCATTCTATGCAGTCAAAGTTTTACAGAAGAAAGCGATCCTGAAAAAGAAGGAGGTAGGAGATGTGCTTGATGGGTTGGGGTTGGAGATTGACTTCCATTTAATAGTTTGACGTTAGCACTTCGGTGCCATGTTGAAATTTGCCACTAAATCTTAATTGTCCTTTTCCTAGGAAAAGCATATTATGTCAGAGCGGAATGTTCTACTGAAGAATGTGAAACACCCTTTCCTGGTGGGCCTTCACTTCTCTTTCCAGACTGCTGACAAACTGTACTTTGTCCTCGACTACATTAACGGCGGAGAGGTGAGCAGCGGGAAGATGAGCTGACCTGTCTGGGCACAGTTTTAAAAGAGATTCAGAGGGAGGGAAGTTACCAGAATTAGAATTTCCTTTAAGCTGCCAGGTTTCAAACGGTTAATAGACTATTTAGGGCCACTTCCTGCAATTGTTCTTTTTAGCTATATATGTCAAGACTAATTAAATGCATTGTTATCAGGCGTTGGCAACGCAGACTAACTGTATTCTGTCTCCCGCAGTTGTTCTACCATCTCCAGAGGGAGCGCTGCTTCCTGGAACCGAGGGCCCGTTTCTATGCTGCTGAAATAGCCAGTGCCTTGGGTTACCTGCACTCTCTGAACATCGTTTATAGGTGAGCTAAAGAGCTCTTCAAGGCAGCCTTCTTGGGTATAAAGGAGACACAGCAGCCCTAGCCTTTGACAGGGCCTTAAAATAATCTGTATTTAGGTATAACTCGGTCACCTAAAACCAGATGCCCCAGCATGTGAGCTGCCTTGACTCCATGCCACTAGGGAACTAGCCAACGAGGATTGGACCACATCCAGAATAGATTAGCAGAACAAGGGCTCCCTTTTTTATATGATACAACTGCCGTGAATGTAAAATGCTTCTAATACCCCTAGCAATTCTCTTTACAGAGGATTTCTTATGAAGTGAAATTAACTTGTGCAACTACTTTTTGTTCATTTTTTTTACAGAGACTTAAAACCAGAGAATATTCTGCTAGATTCCCAGGGACACATTGTCCTTACTGACTTTGGGCTCTGTAAGGAGAACATCGAACCCAACGGCACGACATCCACTTTCTGTGGCACACCTGAGGTAAGAGCATGGTCCACTTGGTGCCCGGTCTACCCTCTTCTTTCCAGAGACATAAGTGCAATAATGCTTTCAAGTGCTGAGAGTCAACTGTTCTCTGAGGTTCCTTAGCCCAATTCAGTGCAAGTAAAATACATTTGCTCTTTGATGCAGCAGGAGATATTTCAAGGCCTTATGTTGCTTTAATTAAAACTAGCATGTGGTAAAGGATTTCTGAATCCCCAAGTAAGATGCTGTTGGGTGGCCAGTCAGCCTCAAAATCTAGTAGCTATATCAGGAAGTCATTTGAAGAAATACATTCTCCAAGGGGACCCAGGGTCTCTCAGCTCTTTCAAAGTACATGCCTGGCCTTGGGATTGCCTGGTTTCACCAGCTCTAAACTCTGTTCTCCTGTCTGTCTTTCAGTATCTCGCACCCGAGGTTCTTCATAAGCAGCCTTATGACAGGACTGTGGACTGGTGGTGCCTGGGAGCCGTCCTGTATGAGATGCTATATGGCCTGGTGAGTCATAGGACATTGAGAATCATGGGATACTGCCCCAATTTGATAATGTTGCCTCGAGTGTAGGTCTTCTTAAAATCCAGACTCTTCAGGGCACTCGGTCCCCATTGCAGACCTGGTCATGGTGGCTTGGCCTTTATCAGCAAGCTTATCAAATGCTGATAAGGGAGGCATATTGGTTATTTTATACATAGTTTAGGGTAAACTCTTACCTAGTAGATTTTTCTTTTGTAAATTTACATTATACTAGATTTGACCACATTTAACCTATGTGAGAATGAAAAACATGGCCTTATTAGCATCTAACCCCTGATAACAAGTTGCAAAATACACACTTAAAAATCCGGGGCAAAGAAAACCTATCAAGAAAAAGAGCATTAAATCCAACCAAATATCCTGTGAATTAAATCTTTCTATTGGTAATGTACACAGTCCAAAACTTATGATTAAATACTAAGCCATTTTCTCCCTTCTCTCAGCCTCCTTTTTATAGCCGAAACACAGCTGAGATGTACGACAACATTCTGAACAAGCCCCTCCAGCTGAAGCCAAATATCACGAACTCTGCACGCCACCTCCTGGAGGGCCTCCTGCAGAAGGACAGGACGAAGAGGCTGGGTGCCCAGGATGACTTTGTGAGTGACCTCCTTCTTCTCTCCCGGTTGTCTGGGGTGTGCGCTGGACCTCACTGCCCTCCTTGAACTCTGCCTGGCTAAATGAATCCTGTGTTTCTTCTCCACAGATGGAGATTAGGAATCATGTCTTCTTCTCCGTAATTAACTGGGATGATCTCATTAATAAGAAGATCACTCCTCCTTTTAACCCAAATGTGGTGAGTATCTCTCTTCTAAGTAGAGGGAGGCCCAAAGGGCATTTCTTTAAGTCACATTTGGCAGGGGGAGGGCCCTGAGGAACAAATTGGCAGATATTTTATTCATGGGCCATTATTTTACCTAAAGAAAAAGTGGAATTTTTGTCCCACATAATTAAGCTCACATAATTTTCCAACACATTTATCAATTAAAGTCCCAAAAGACCGAAAGGGAATGTTATCTTTATCAATTCAACTCTGTGTGGCCTCTGGGTTTTGTGCTTGAAATGGATGATTATTATGGGGATTTCCATATTGTGCCCTAAAGACTTGGGCTCCAGAACTTTAGGCCTAAATGAGGATTTCCAAGCCCTGTATCCAGTGTGAATTCTTGACATTGAATGTGGTTTTTCCTTCCTGCTGCAGAGCGGACCCAGCGACCTGCGGCACTTCGATCCCGAGTTTACTGAAGAGCCAGTGCCCAACTCCATCGGCAGGTCTCCCGACAGCATCCTCCTCACAGCTAGCGTCAAGGAGGCCGCTGAGGCCTTCCTGGGCTTCTCCTATGCACCTCCCGTGGACTCTTTCCTCTGAACAGTCTTAGGGTTGGTTTTGAAGGATTTTTTGTGTGTTGGAAAATGTTTTAGTTAGCCTTTTGGCGGAGCTGCCAGCTGACAGGACATCTTAAAAGAGAATTTGCACATCTCTGGGAGCTTGCACACCTTGGCAATCTCATTGCACACTGTTTGCTGGAAGCTTTTCAAAGAGCACATCCTCCTCTCAGTGAGCTCACGAAGTTTTCATTCTCACTCCTCCTTCCAACGTGGTGCTATCTCTCAAAGCGCACTAGAGCGCGCCATAGACAGACACAGGGGTCTGACTAGCAGCAGGACGCTGCTCTGAGAAGGATTTCCCGAAGGTCTGTCTGGGCGGTGGTGATGAACTTTATGAAATGTGCCTTTTCTGATGCGATCATGTTAGCTCCAAAGCTTTTCCCCTTGCAGTGTTTCAGCCCTCTGCCTTTCCCTGTGGACCGCTGTGTGAACAGCGGGCGGAGGGCGGGGTGCCTGATCGCAGATGGACCGAGTAGTGAGCGTCAGCGTGACACATGCAGGACACTACAATGTGGGACATTGTTTGTTTCTTCCATATTGGGAAGATGAATTTATGTGTAGACTGTTTTTTTGTAAGATATAGTTAATAACTAAAATTTATTGAAATGGTCTTGCAATGACTTGTATCCAGATGCTTAAAGAAAGCATTGCTGCTACAAATATTTCTATTTTTAGAAAGGGTTTTTATGGACCAATGCCCCAGTTGTCGGTCGAGCCCAGTGTTTTCATTGTTTAAAACGTCACCTGTAAAATGGGCATTATTTATGGGTTATTTTTTTTTGCATTCCTGGTAATTGTATGTATTGTATAAAGAAAGTCTGTACATTGGGTTATAACACTAGTATATTTAAACTTACAGGCCTATTTGTAATGTAAACCACCCTTGTAATGTACTGTAATTAACATGGTTATAATATGTACAATACTTTCTCCCTCCCCAGCACACAACTTTTTTGTGTGTGATAAACCGATTTTGGTTTGCAATAAAACCTTGAAAAATATTTACATAAATTGTGTCATGTGTGTTCTTTTGTGTATTTTGGTTGGGGGGGCAATAATGGGTCCTTTTAAAAATCTAAAACCAGGAAAATGCTGCTGTGATTTCCAGCTCACTGATTTGCTTCTGATAACAGCGCCTTCTGGCTCCAGGGACGTATAGGGCGGTCTTAAATCCAACATATATTCCAGGTCTTCTTAGCAGCATTTTATGAGGTCAGTTATTCATAAATCTATCCAAACAAATCCTTTTCAGTTTATGGGTCTCCCCAGGACAGCCATGACATAATGTTCCCTATGTTTATTGCCTGTCCTGTGACATTGACTGCTGTTTGTTCAGACATTTAGCTTGTCTGCGATTAACAGGTTATTCTTTCAACCAGTACGTGAGTACCTGCTCTGGGCCAGGCTCTGTCCTGTGTGCTGGGGCTCTAGCAATGAGCAAAGAAGGCAAATCTCTGCCCTTACAGAGCCTGAGAGAATAGGCCAACTTTGTCAGTGAAGCAGTTTATTGAAATGGAAGTCAAGTTCATAGTCTGCAAGGGTAGAAGAAGGCCACCAAAGAGGGTGAGGACGTTTGTCCTAAATAGAGATGGCCCCCAAAAGTTGATGTTCCCCAAAAGACTTCTAGTGGGAGAGTACCCAGAACTGAACCAAGTCCAGTGCTGGTTCAGAGAAGGATCTGCAAAGAGCGGCACAGCTCTGGTGTGCACCCAGCACTGCATGGACCCTGCAAACTCTAGGTCTAGTGTGCAGAGGCCGCTCCTAGAGCTCATTCCACTGGAATGATTACCATGGAAGAGGGGAAGGTAGCACGATATGAGATCAATGTCTTGCATCCAAATTGTTTGGACATGTACTTTTCTCTGCCTTTCACACAAATTCTTAGCAAACAGGGAATTCCGCAACAGTTGGCCTTGCTGCTGCCTTAACCTCTAAGTCAGCTGTATTCCCTCTACCCTGACCTCTTAGTTTGCAGAGGGATTTCCCCAGGGAAAGTTGTCATCTTTTTCCCTTTTATTTCATATTTCTCATATTTCGACCCCACCCCCACCCTCAAGGCCTCTCAGGGTAGAACAGGTGTTTGAAGATCACTTGCTCCTTGTCCTTCATAATCCACTTAAGGAATGGGATCAAAGTGACTCAGCAACTTCTTGCAGAAGGTGGCTTCCTGTCCAAGTCAGTGTGTTAGGTGCTGCTCCCCTAACCAACCCCAAATGCTAAAATCAGCTACAATGGCAGAGAATCGAAAGCCTGCATTTTCCTGGTAAACACTGGTGCTAGTTCTGAGCGGGAGATTATTGCAGATCTCTCCCTCATTCTCATAAGTAACAGTTATGAATTCTTCCTTGAACAAAAAGTGCTTAAATCACATTTTTAGTTGAACACAGTTCTGGCAGGCTGAAAATCGATAATCTGATTATAAATAACTCAGAGGATCCAGTCGTGGATTTCAAAGCTTATTGATTTTTTTAAAGGGTAGGAATTTGGTTTATGGGGTCACATTCAATCATTATATGAGATCTGATTCGCATTGTTTGAGAACTGAAAGGAGCCAGCAGGATCGCAAGCATTGTTACCCAAGTGGGAGGAGACTGGATCAAACAAGTGGGCAGGACGGGGACAAGGCAAGAACAGGGAAGTCAAGAAGGGACAAGGGATCAATAAAAAAGGGCAAATATTTACTAAGCTCTGATGTCAAATGATTCAAGTGATGTCAAGTAGCCTTCGCACAGAAGTAAGTATCTTTTATCTACAGGCGTGGTGCACGTTCTTGCCAGCGTTTGAAACTACATTTGAGCATGATGGTTGCAAAAGAGGGCCAATTCTCTTCACAGCTCTCGGGCTGCAGACCTGCTCACATGTCTTTGGGACTGGGGCAAATTATTGAGCCAAGATCCCCACAAGGTAAAATGGGACTCTAAAACCACAGCTGCCCTGAGGAGTGGGTCAAACACTGTGCTTAGAGAATTTGCCTTCTACCTTGGGAGACACAGCACCTACCCCTGGGACATGACAGGTGGTGAATGAGGGGTAAAGAGGACTTCAGAAGTCCAGAGGCTCTCTGGGGGGTCAGCTGATTGGAGCAGGCTCCATAAAAGGAGATCAAAGAGTCTTATTAACCAATTCTATTTCTAGGGGGTCTCATGGGATTCAAGCCCTGAGGATTAGGTAACAGTAATAGCTAATACTACTAATATATGCTATATGCTAATCATTGTTCTAAGTATTTTATACTCAGTTTATTTAATCTTCAGAACAACCCTGTGATGTCAAAGGTGAAGGAACTAGCACAGAAGGGTGATTTGCTGGTCAGTGGTGGTGAGATTAGAAGCTGAATCATGACAGTCTGACCCCAAAGCCTGTGCGTGTAACCATTCTGCCTGACAGGTGACAGCAGAATATAGAAGCCATTGTTAGTCATTCACTTATTATTTCACCAGACTTTTACTAAGATACCTCCTAGGTGTCATGCTAGGCAGAGAGAGAGAGACAGAGACAGAGAGACGGGGGGCAGGGGGGTGCATATAATGTAGACACCATCTGTTGATGAAGATGAGGAGCAGCTGGAGATATACTTTGCAGTGGGAATATAAATTAGTACAAGCATTTTGGAAAACTGTTTGGCACTATCAACTAACAATGAACATATATATAACTTCATGACCCAGTATTTCCACCCCATGGTTTATGCCTAAAGTAACTTACATATATTCAATAAAAGATTTTCAATAATGTTCATGGTGGCGCTACCCATATTAGCCCCAACATGTGAACAAAATAAAATGTCTACCAACAGTAAAATGAATAAATTAGTGTGATTTTATATAATGGAATACTATACTACAATAAAAATGAGTAATTGCTACATACAACAGCAGGGACTAAATCTCACAAAGAAAAACAGAAACCACACTGTGTGACCTGATTTGTATATAATTTGAAGGCAGGCAAATAAAATGCATCTCCATAGAGGTAAAGCTATGATCACCTTTGCGGGGAGAGGTTAGAAGTAATGGGTAAGAGGACACCCGAGGTGCACGGTCTTCTGGGTGGTGGTAAGTTCCTGATTGGGTCGGAGGGTTTCAGAGAGTGGTTTTGCTCTTTGGTATCTCATCAGGCTACAGACTTGTGGTATGTGCCCTTTTCTGTGTTTGTTATATGTCAATAAAAATGTTTAAAATATGTAGTATGGCAAAAACAGGGTATTACAGAAACACAAAGGAAGGACACTTTACCCTATCTGATGAGTTATTGAGAATGGAGTGGAGAAGAAGGAGGAATCAAAACACCAAGGCACATTTGTGTAGTTTATTTCTTTAGTGTACCTGACCCAGCTCATCGAAGTAGTTGTTACAGCTGCAGTAACAGGACAAAGACCACCCACCAGTTTCTTCCACATTCCCAGGATATAATGAGACAGCTTGCCAATAATCAATCAATGTAGTTGGCAAAGCAAGATGTTACACACCGTAGTCAATCTCTACCCCATCCTGTTAAGAAATTTCTCACTTATCCATCAAAAAGCCCCTAAAGTCCTATGTTTTGAGTCTTGTAACAGGAGCATAATGATGTTAAAATTAAGATGGTATTAATTAGAACTCCATTTCTATTAAGAAAAAAAAACACTCCTCTAAATTAATCCCAATTAAATTATTTAAATTTTTTTCTCATATGACATGAAAATTGTTAACAATCATCAAAACCACCAATTACATTTCTATTGCTTAGACTTTACATGTGGCTTACATGTGCCTGGTCTTCTTTGGGCACTCCATGCTTACTATATAAGAACATGTTTCATTTACATGTTTTCTCTGCTTTCCACATTTTTCTGTGGGGACTTCAGCAACAAGAGTAGGAGTAATCCTTGATGTTTACTTATCACATTGTGTTCAGACAGGTATGTTTGTGTATTTGAAGATCTTGGGAACCATGAGTTCCGATGGGCAGGGTATTTGATTTTCTCTTTTCTGTGTTGCCTGTTCTGTGCTCCACCTAGGTCATCATCGCAGCAGGCGTGATGATGATGTTGATGATAAAACAACAATACACAAGGTACAGACTGTGCGCAAAAAGCATGCATGCAGACAATTACTTCTTGAGTCGACCAAGGGTCATGAGCATAAAGGCATAGTGTCACTTTATACAATTGTCACGCAAATACATGAAACAGGTAAGTGGCTGCCAATCTGTTCAGATACCCAGATGATTTAAACACAATTCTGCTCAATCAGTAGTTAATGTCACTTTAAATAGCCATACTCTTTTTTTAAGGAATAGAGTTGAAATACAATATTGTTTCAGTTTCACACATATATAACACACTGACACTTATATTCCTTAAAGTGTGATCACCACAATACACGTAGCAACCATCTGTCATCATACAGAGTCATTACAGTAATATTGACAGTTTTCTCTATGCTGTACTTTACGTTCCAGTGACTTAATTGGGTTTTTAAAATAACTGTGCAGGTGTGTACCTCTTATACCCCTTCACCTTTTTACACCTGTCCTCCCACCGCTCCTCCCCTCTGGCAATTATCAGTTTCTTCTCTGTATCTGTGAGGCTGTCTCTGTTTTGTTTTATTTGACCATTTCTTTTTGGGTTTTAGATTCCACATATAAGTGAAATCATACAATATTTGTCTTTCTCTGTCTGGCTCATTTCACTTAGCAATATACCCTCTAGGTCCATCCATGTTGTCCCAAATGATAAGATTTAATTATTTTTTTAAAAGATTTTATTCATTTATTTTTTTTTAGAGAGGAAAGGGAGGGAGAAAGAGAGAGAGAGAGAGAGAAACATCAATGTGCGGTTGTTGGGGGGTATGGCCTGCAACCCAGGCATGTACCCTGGCTGGGAATCGAACCTGTGACACTTTGGATCACAGCTCGCGCTCAATCCACTGAACTATGCCAGCCAGGGCCAGATTTAATTATTTTTATGGCTGAGTAATATTTTATTGTGTGTATATGTATGTGTGTGTGTACATATACCAACTTCTTAC